GCTCGATGCCACGCAGCAGCAGCAACAACAAGCTCAACTCATAAGCGATAAAGTTAACAAAAGCCAAAGCCAAGTATTTGGGCAAGTTTTAGTTATTGTTATGAGAACGCTCGATGCTGTTATTACTGCTACTGCTACTGCAACTGCTACTGCTGTTGCTGACAGTGTTGACAACAAGGCGAAGCGACAATATCAGTTATTGAAAGTTTGCTTCGTTTTTTTTCTCTAGGTTTGCTGCTCAGTTGCTTGCTGCTGACAGCCTTTGGCCAGCAAAGTTTTGGTCAGAGCACAGCAACAACAGTTGCCGGGAAAAGCTCTAGTTTTCGGCAAAAGTTTGTTGCAATTCGAAAGCTTTGTTGACTGCAAGAACCCGACTGAAAGCGAAAGACGCGAATTAGCCATGCTTCAGCTGACCCCAACCCTTAAGAAATGTGGCAACAATGTTATTTAGAGGCATGTAAGGTCGGTCGCTGCAATTAAAGGTAGTGAGAAGTGGCAACAATATGAAGGCTATGCTCTGACTTGAGGCTTGAAATGTGGCAACACTGTGATGTCTGCAGATTTCAAGTGCGGTCATCAAGTATAGCCTAAATGCCAAAAAAAATGCTGTTGCACCATTTCTCTGGCCACTTGGAGCAAGCGCCCTAATAATATAGAATAGTTAAATGTGGCAACAGTGTAACGCAATGTGAAGAGTGGCGGCACTGTTGTCACCATTCACCGAAATGTGGCAACATTCTTTCTAAATACCTAAAAAAAAAACACTCTTGCCTCATTTCTTCAGCGGGAACTGACTTGAAAACAAGAAAGTTTAACAACAAAGGAATGTTTTTCGGGCGATGGAATGCACTTTGGCTCACAAAAGCTGTGCTTCATGCTGTAGACTGTACGTCTTTGAGCCGCTTGTCAAGCGCGGTTGCCGCACTTCACAGAACAGGACGCGCGACGCCATTTTGAATGCGCTGTCCGTTGAAAAACAAAGGGGCTGCGACTTTTTATCTGTTTATCTGCCGCACTTGAGTTTGTCAAAAGCAATTGTTTGACTTGGCTGGCAGACGCAGGCTGGCCAGCTGGAACAAAGAAGGAACAACAAGCGCCACTGACCAAAGAGAAAGGTCGCTGGTGTAAGGGTTTTGGCTCTACAAAACAACAACAACAATAACAACAACGAGAACAAGAACAACGTGCACACATTTTGAGGGCATTTGCTGCGCATCGCTGACCACAAATAACCAAGCTGTGTTTATTTCCGTGCCCCATTCTGTGGCTCACACAACATTGTGCAGCATTTCATGTATTTGCCGTTTGCCCTTTTGGCCCCAAACGCGTCAGCAACTGCTGCTCCGGCTGCTGCTGCCCCCTAGACCCTAGACGCTGTCTGTTGCGTTCGTTGGTACATTGAGTTATGTTCTGGCAGCTCGTGTGTGCCCCAAGGAAATGCAACTCCAGCAGCAGTCGTGGCATGTGCGTAATGACAAATACTCGAGCGCAGCAAGTGGATGGATGCGCCGTGCCCCGCCCCGTCAACTGCCCCCAACTGACCCATTGTGTAATTGCATACGGCATTTTGATCCCTACAATAGCTGCTAAATTTACAGGCTTGCTGATATTTACATCTGACGCATTGAAGACAAAGAAGAAGTTGCAGAAAATTAAGAGGCGCTTACAATAGCCGCAACTGGGAAGGGGAGCCTGCAGATGGAATTTAGAAGTGGAAGTTGAAGGGAAAAATTGAATTTGAAACTTAACAGGTGTAAATTGGAAAACTTGAAGGCTGAATCAAAAAGCTGGTCTTTTAGCAGTGGAACATGGAGGTGGAATTTGTAGAGGGATCTTAGAGATTTTAGAGATGGAATTTAGAAGTGGAAACTTAAGTATAAATACTTGTCGGTGGAATTTGAGTGTATCTGTGAGGTGAACGTTAGAAGTAAAAATTGAATTCGTAGGTGGAACTTCGTGAAAGAGATGAAAACTAAAGCGGAACCTGGAAGTGAAGCGCGAAACTTTCAAATTACAGATTACCATGGGCAAACAAGAGAAATCCCTATAAAACAGCAACATATGAAGTGTGGCAACAGTGTAATTAATAAATTTTCCACTATTATTAACAAAAATTTTTTTTAATAAATATAACTCTGCAATGGCCCTTGACCAAGACAGCAGCACATCCATGCAATAAACTGCCTGAGTTCTCTTGCCAGCTTGAGAACTTATTTAACGAGGAGTGCAACAAGTGAAATTTGGCAACGCTGTAATTTTGCTGGCAGGTGAAATGTGTCAACGTCGCCGTCTTGTAAGCTGACAAATGCACTGCAAATGCCAGAAATGAAAAGTTGTTGAACTCTTCAGACAAGCAGATTAACCAGCAGCCAGCGAGAGTCATAATCATCAGAATTATCAACATTTCCACTATCATCATTATAATTATCATCGTTATCAGCAGGCGGTATCAGAACATGCAACTGCTGGCAGCTGGCAGCTGGCAGCTGGCAAATGGCCAGCCGGTCGAATGGCTCAGCCTGGGAACTAGGTGCGAGTGGGAGACATTGGATAAGCCGTGACATTACCAACCCAATCCCTGGCCCAACTCCCCCGCCCGCTGCCCGCCCGCTGCCCGCTCGCTGCTCCTTGTTCCTTGCTCCTAATCATGCCACTTGATTGCTAAGCAGCATTATGCCATTTATTGCCACAACAAGCTGCACGAAAGGATCGCAGAATTGCAGCGCTGCCAGGCAAAGTTCTCAGTCCTTGGCAAAGTTTGCGCTCGCTTCACTCAGTCCGTCGCATCGCATCTTCTCTCCCCTACTCTCCCCTCTCTCTCTCTCTCTGTCCTGGCCTTTTCTCTGCTCTCATTCGCATTCATGGAGCTGCACACAATATGCTAAACACTTTGCCGCTTCCAGCAGCAGCAGCAGAAACAGCAGAAGCAGCAGCAGCCAATGCAATCATAATTTTAACTACTTTAGTTTTATGCTTGCCACACCCATACGCCCTAGCCACACACTCACACCACCCCCTCGGTCTGCACCCTTTACACACGCTCCTGCACTTGGTTCTATTATCGCAGCGTTTTGTTTGGCCTTCTTTCTGCTCCTTTCTGCTAATTTCGCGCGTCCACACTGAAAAGCAATGGGTTAAATGCTTGCGAAAACTTGTGCAAAAAGGCGAAATGAAAATGAAAATATAAATTGGCTTTGTGGTGTGCGTGTGTGTGTGTGTGTGTGTGCACTGTACAAAATTACGAGCAAAGCGCCTTTAAAGATAATACCCAGGCAAAAAAAAAATACACACACACACACACACACAAGAGTGTTCTAGTCGGGCGTGCCTGATTGGGAAACACCCTGCACTCAGCAACATGTGTATCTCAAATTCAAGTCTTTATTCTTCTGAATTAAAATTAGTAAAGTTAATAGAAAGTCAAGTTTATTCTTATTTTTTCAAAACAAGATCATTAACTAATTTAATAAATTATCTCATTATATATTTACTAAAATATTTATTAAATAATACAACAGTTAAAATAAGTTTAATTAATAAGAAACGACAAGCTTTAATTCAAGATAAATCTTGGATTGACCAAGATTGACCAATTGAGTAAAATTGAATTCCTCGGATTTGATAGACAGACAGACGGACGGACAGACTGAAGGACATGCATGACAGGATCAACCCAGTTGGATTCGTTAAAGCCGCCCTTAGCCTGTCGCAGACCTTTGCACAAAGCTTGAATACCCTTAGTACTCTTTTTCAATAGGGTCAGAGCAAAAAAAAAATATATGAAGAAAAAGTGGGAAAAACTTTTGCAAATGGCATCGATAAATGCAGCTAAAATCGATTTTAAAGACAATTTTTGCAATTCCTGGCCAACAGCTGCACAAGCCAAGGGAATTTAAACAGAAATGAGATAGAGATATAACTGTGCGCGAGAAGGAGCGAGAGGGAGAGGGAGAGAGTGCAAACAGGCAGCAGCATAATTCAATTCGCCTGGCCAGCGCTCTTTGTGGCTTCATTAGCGCCTTTAAGGGCCGGGACTAAAAGGCTGCCGTCCACCAGAATCCCTTCCCAAAAACGCTGCTGGCAAGTCCGCAACCAAATCCAAAACCGAAACCGAATCCAAACCAAACGTTGGCCTGGCCTGGCCTGTCCAAATGCAAAGCCAGCGCCAAAGGCGCAGCCAAAGCCAAAGGACCTCGACGCAATCAAGGCAAATGGATTTTAATTAATTTTGCCGGTCTGCACAATTTTTAATTAAGAAACTTGAAACGTCACTCGATGCATTTAGCCAAATGCAGCTGCAGCGGCAACTGCAGCTGCAACTGCAAAATCTGAAACAAAAGCTCAGCTGCAGGGCATCTTCTCGGTGTATTTTCCCCAAATGCCTTTGCCAGCTCTGGTTAGGCTCTTATTTGGCCCTTTCGCATGTGCTCGACATGCGGCTGGACAAATATTCCATTGTTCTTATGTACTCCAATAAGTGTCCATTGTAACTAGGTGGCAACGCTCAGCAGGACGTCAGTGTTGGGCAATGATGCACGGAAATAACAAAGCTATTATACATCTTTTGTTCCTGCAAATGGAAACTGTCACTGGATGAAATAAGATAAAATTAAATAAGTTGGGATAAGGTGGGGTGAGGGGAGATGAGAAGAAATCGGAGATAAGTAAGGATAAGATAAGAGGAGAAGGGAGGGGAATAGAAATGTCAAGTGAAAAGAGAAGAAGAGAAGAAAAGAAAAGAAAAGAAAAGAGAAGAGAAACGAGGAGAAGAGAATAGAGAACAACATGTATAAGATAAAATAACGTGGGATAAAATGAGATAAGGTTCACTCAAATCAATTATCATAAGATACGCTGGATGATCTAAAATACAAGGTAAGATTAGTTCAACTATCTTCAACTTTATTGATGCTTTTGAAAAGTTCGCTTTAGAGAAGCTTGACTGTATTTGACTTCAGAGTTTAACGCGATGTTGCGCTTTTGTCTTTTGGAACTTTCAGTGCTGGACTGCCAGGTGGGCGATTGGGGGGCGTGGAGCGAATGCGACAAGAGCTGCGGAGCTGGAATGATGACGCGGACGCGCCAAATCCTGCAGGCGGTCCAAAACGGCGGCAAGCACTGCCCCTCGCTGCTCCAGAAGCGCGCCTGCCAGGGCTATCGCTGTCACGGCCATCGCGATAAGAAGATTTTGCGCGGTAAGTCCAACACACACACACACACGCACACACTCACACTCGCACAAAATGCAGCTCAATGAAGAGCGCCTATCTGCCTACCTTTACACATGTAAATTTATCTGTAAATGTGTGTGTGCCGAGTTTAATGAAATGCACTTTTAATTAAAAATATCTGACCAGACACCGTCCGCTTACCTGAACCCAAGCCCCGCTCGACAGGTGAGAACAGTCGCGCGTTCGCAACAACAGCTGAGTCGGCAATTGTTGCAGTTGAGCCCTGCACCTGTTTCTGACCCTGTTCCTGGCCCTTTCCTTAAATTAAAATGGCGAATTGTCAGCCAAATCCCCAACTGGAAAGAACGACGAAGACTTCGTAGGATCCATTCCATCGATCTGCCAGATAAGTTATGTTAAGTATATTGATTAAATTATTGGAGATTAGAAGAACAGTATCAATAAATTAGCTAATAAGAAGAAGTGGCAGCAATATTCGATGTAGTCATAGCTATCATTCAAATGCCATAAAATATCTATATACATAAGTATATCTATTTATGCTTGTTTAGAGATCAAAGATTTCCATTAACATGCATCTGGCACTCCAGTTTAAGCCGTGTCAACGGGCATATTCCATATTCCATTTACCATTTACCATTCTCCATTTACCATTTACCATTCTCATAGCAGATTTGTTAAGAATGTTGATATGTTGATCCACTTAGCAAGCACTTGGCTCTCTTTGTTAGCGTCCCTGCATATGCAGAGTAAATATTTTACACTCATTGTAATACCACGTGCGCTAGAGCAAGCCCTATAGGGTAGTTTCTCCCTCTTATAACATTCTTCATATTCTTTCCATTTGTCACTTAACCTTAATCAATTTCTGAGATTTGTTTAAGATGCTGGCAATCTTAAAACGCGCTTTGAAATGTTTCTCATTTAAGAATTTCTTGACACCTTGAGTTCTTGCAACCTTATGGGCCGCTTTGAAATGTTTCTAATAGTGCCCTCGACGTTCCTTTGAAGCGTATCTCCTAGTCGGGCACTCTCGACTAGAGCATTCTTCCTCTCTTACTTGTTTTGATTATTTTATAAACTCTTTACACTCTTTTTCCAACCCGTTTCATATTCCTTTAAGGCCTCTCCCTGACTAGGCTGTTTAAAACCGCTTCGATACCTCTTTCAGGCATGTTTAAACCCCCTTGAAACCTGCCTAAAATCCCTTTGAAAAACTGTTTGGGAAAAGTTCAAACCCCTTTGAAACCTGCCTAAAAGCCCCTAGAAACCCCTTTGAAACTTCTTTAAAACCCCTTTACCCTTGTTTAAACCCTCTTTGAAACCTTTTAAAAAGAAACACCTTAAAATCCCTTTGAAACCCGCATAAAATCGCTTTCAAACCTGTTTCAAACCTCTTCGAAACCCGTTTAATATCTGTGTAGAACTACTTTGAGAACTCATCAAAACATTTGAAAGTTAAAAAAAAACGCTTTTCCATCTGCAATAAACCACTTTCCATAAAGAAAGCATCCGATTTCTTAAGGGCGCGTGGCTCGAGGGTATTTGAACGTCGCGCCCGCACAGGCATTGAAATTGCCCTGACTGTTGCATTGACAGAGCTTGCGATGCAAAAAGCTTTTTCACCTAAACGCCCGGCAAAATGTGGAGCAGGCTAAGTCACTTGACAGCGGATGAGGAGGTGAAGGGCGTGGGACGAGGGGGGGGTCCACTGATGCTGATGCACTTGTACTTGGGCCGCGGGGGTATCTCTCCACCAGATGCATCTGTCAGCTTTCGCTTGGTGAAGCTGAAGCTGAAACTTTTTTCGCCACTTTTTTTTTTTCGTCCTTTTTTTTGTTGAATGCCGCTCAGGACGGAGAAAAACTGACAGCGTTAAAAGCGCCCAGCTGCATAAGAAGTCGACGCACGTGAAAGAACGTAAGTTCCAGTATCTGCCCGGCCTTCCCCTCTCCCCCCCCCCCCCCCCCCTCATCCATCATCTGTGCCCTTTTCGGCTAACCCCGCGCTGCCCCTTGGCCTGGCATGCAGAGCCAAAGCAATTTTCTGCAAGTGGCTGACATAAAAGCCATATTATATTTGGCTAAGTGTCGCCGCCGGCACACACACACACACACACGCCCACGCTCCCATCCCGGGCCAGAAGAAGTGCAGCTAACAAAATACTACAAAAAAAAACAACGGAGAAGAAGAAACTGCAGTGGCAAAAAAAAAAAAAAAAAACTATTAAAAATCGCAGCACAAGTTTTTGTTTATGTTTTGGGTCGCCTGCGCTCCATTAGCCTCGGACGTGCCTGTCGCAAAGGCTTCACTTGCAGGCTGACCCTCCCACCCCCCCCCCCTCCGCCTCTTCCCCATCGCCTGCCCGCTTCCTGTTGCCTCTCTTTGGATTTAGTTGTCGTTGTGGTTTTGCCATCCGCTGTCCGCTCTTTAAGCGTTTAATTAAAACTTTGATTGCAGCCATTAAAAAATTGTTTAACGCTATGCATAAAGAGCACACACAGCACCAGTTCCACATGTCACCAGCATCAATAGAGCTGAGTGTGTGTGTGTGTGTGTGTGTGGGTGGGTGAAAGCATAAAGGATAAAATTAACGACAGCTTAGCCACTAAAGCACACAGCATAAAAATAGCACAACTATATTAAGAAATAGAAAAAGCTTTTAAATCACATTAAAGCTATAATAAGATATAATAAAAAGGTGCTTATTAAAGCTGAAGCTGATATTAAAAATAACTTTGAAAGCAGCTCAAAGCTGGGTAGCTTTCAAAACGCACGAAAGCTTTAAGCCAGCCTAATTGTAGCAAATGCATGAAATGCATGTTGGTGCGCACGCTCTACACAATCTTTACATATAATATGCCCACCGACTCTTCAATTGAAACCGAGAATCCACAGGACTTAAACTATTCTCACATTTGCAGATGACATAGCCTTATCAAGAAAGAAATGTGTCTTCTGTTTGAAATGTGGGCGGTTTATATAATCGCCCTTTCCTTGTACATTCTCAGGTCATTGTAAATATTCACATAACTTTAATTAAAGTTATTTCCATAGTAGCAGTAAAATTGAAAAAAAAAAAGCATAAAGTTAATAATAAATACAGGATATTGTGGTCACGCTGAAAAGTAGGCAACACGTTTGCGCTGCGCCAAGAGCAAAGAATCAATATGTAAGTGGTAATTAAAATAAAAGCAAGCACACACACACACACACACATCAACCGTACACGGATGTGAATTAAATGCTTTTAATACAGTTTTAAGCTGTTTATAGTGTTAAACGTGTGTGTGTGTGTGTGTGTGTGTGTGTCTGTCACTGGGCTTGTTTATCTTGCAAATTGCTGTCAGCTATCGGCGGGCAAACTCTTTGGCTTTAGCCGGTTGCCAGCGTCACAGGCAATTACAGAGCATTAAAATGTCGATTAGAGCTGGACAGAGAGAGACAGCAACAGCGACTGAAACAGACACTAAGCGAGAACGAGAACGAGAACGAGAGAGAGAGCGAGAGCGAGAGACCGAGAGGGAGACAGAAACTGGAAGCAAAGGATTGCGCAGCAGGGCTATTGGGGTCAAACATGACTGCAAATTCGCAATTTAAGCGCGGAAAAATCAAATGCAAAATAAGGCAAAAGCAGCGCCAACAGGCAAGACTGCGCCAGCCGGGAGTGCGCGACTAGAAAATACCCTCGACCCAACCAAAATATAGAGTATACATATATATAAATATTCTGGATCTATGTACACCTAACGATCCCTCCAAAGCTCCGATAAATGCGCAGAAACAAGCTTGTGATACACACATTTATCGATAACAACAAAAAGGATGACAATGATTATCGATGCTTGTAATCAAACTCGATCTGCGCGGTCAGAAGCTGAGAAACCTGCAGCTTATCGAGTGCCCGATACAGCTTCCCCGCTTGGCGTTTATTAATGGCTACAGGGTATAGAAAGCAAATGCAGCAGCGAAAAAAAATGCGTAGCAGGATCAAAGCAAATGGCAAAATTAATAAAGGAAACTGCACAAAAGCCAAGCGGAAATTGCGAAGCAAAGCGCGTGACGAGCTCCCAGCTGTTGCATATTGCTGCAACACAAACAACAACAACTAAAGTAACTCCCATAAATACGTGCAATTTGTGTTAGGTAATTGGCCAGGCCGCAAATTCAATTTACGTCAACGCAGACTCAGGCCAAGATACAAGCGAAGACGCCGAGCGAGCGGCAAAATGGTAGACAGCACAAGAGCGAGAGGCGGCGCGTCGTTAAGTATGCTATTAAAAATTGTGTAATGCCAAGTTAATTGCTAACAAACGAGCGCCAACTAAGTGCACGTGTGTGTCTATGTGTATGTGTGTGTGTGTAAAGTTTGCGGCTGTGCGCCTTTTTTTGGCATGTGTGTAATAATTAAGGTAAACAAACCCGCCCGCCCACGCCCACACACACACACACACACACACAGACACACAAGCACATGCCACACCGCGTACACACACACACTCACGCCCCTTTGAGTTATTTGGGGTGGGCGTGACACAATGCCCAGTGCCACTTACAGGTGAGAAATGCTCTGAATTTAGTTACTTACACTGAGCGACATCTATCGGTGAGTAGCTAGAAACAAGGAGAGCAGATTAAGTGCAAGCGTTTTCTTAATGTTTCAAAGCATTAAAAATGTCTCAAATGACATTTAACAAAGATCTTTAAACACGGAGGCACAAAAATAGCAATTAACAGTTTTAGCTTTAAGCTTCCGAATTCACCAAAACAGGTGGAATGCGTATTTTCCACTTCCCTCTCACTACCACCCATTTTCCACTTCACTTTCACTTTCAGCACCAAACGTAACAAATGTGAAAATATTCGATTCTTAAGGCTAAAGCTGTACATTGATCATCAATCAGTCATCAATCAGTCAGTCTGGCTAATATAATAAGCTGCTGCGACATTTCTTACAGTGTGGCAACTACGTGCGCACACTTTTGGCGCTGACTGTCGTCGTCGTCATCGTCGTCATCATCATCCGCGTTGTCGCCGCCATCGGCAGCCACAATAATGCGGAGTGCTCATTAACGTTATAAAAATAATTGCTGAACACTCACATTCACTCATTCGCTGCCACACGTTCATTCACAACGGGATGTGAATTACGGGCCATGTGCTAAATTCCAATTAACTTGCTTCAATGTGTGCGTGAGTGTGCCCGTGTGTGTGTGTGCGTGTGTGCCTGGCCCAAGTTGGTAATCGTCCAAGATGAAAAACGTAACACAAACTGGGCGTCGGGTGACGGGAGGCGTGCCACAACAATATGGCATTTGATTATGCAAATTTATGTGCATATGTGTGTGTGTGTGCGTGTGTGTGTGTGTGTGTGTGAGGCTGCTGACGCCCAAAATTATGCAATACATATGTGCAGGACAGCAACCGCTTAGTCACGCTCTCCCCTCTCTCTCTCTCTCTCTCTCTCTCTCTCTCTCGTTGTTTTTATCTCTGACCCTGCCTTACTGGCTCGCTCACTCGTTTCACATTAACTCAAAAATTGCTTTAAACTTGGACCATCATCATTTGTTTACCACAACAATTTAAAAGCCTGACATTTAATTTGCCGTGAAACGTGCCAGCCCACGCACTCATTTTCCCTCTTCCCTTCTCCCTCTTCCTCATCCTTCTCCCGAGATGTATCAGTACAGAGTTAAAAGTATGGAGCTGTGGTACAACATAAACCAGCTTGATCTCTCTCTATCATTCACTTCTCTCTCTCTCTCTCTCTTTCGTTCTTCCCATTCTTGGTTTATTAATTAAAGAGCATATCTATCTATCTATTTTTCGACTAAAAGATACCCTCTCAAAGATCATTATTTCAAGTCCCAGTAAAATATTCTTCATTTAGAGATTCGATGACTCTTATAATCTGCCTTAAACAAAATTTTGATAAATGTTTATTCTTCTTCTTAGTATATTCTTCTTCTTCAATTTTCTCAAAGACAGGGTCGATTCGAAATTCAAAACTTTTTTAGTGATTTTTTATTGAATATCTCGGGTAAATATCGTCTGATTTTTCAATGTTATACCTTTTTGAATTTCTAGGGATCCCTTTTAATAAATGACAATAAATTAAATCAACAATCAAAAATTGATATAAAAAATTTTGACAAAAGTCGGATCGGATTCGACATTTTAATGTTTCTTTTTTAATATCTCATTTTTAGTCTCTTTTGGGCTTGCAATATGTCTACACTTTCTATTAGCCAACTCCTGTGGGTGCAGGATAGTGAACGAGGGGGGGGAGTAAAGACTAAGTACTTGGTCTTCGTCTGTCTGTGCCCCACGTAGTCAGACCGAGGCACGCTCCGCAATGGCATCCACAGCTGGGCCAGGTTTACATGGCTCAGGTTCTTTCTTTGCACGCGTTGGCAACACTTTTCACGAGTCACGTGAATGGCACATATGGCCACCTGTACCCCCTTCCTCTGGTCTCTTTTGGTTGGGTGTCAGTTACAGGATTTGCTTTTGGCACTGTCGATTCCAGTTTTTCTGGGCAATAGTCAAAAGTCAGCATGTTTCATGAGTGGGGGGTGGAGCCACGTTGGGGAGCCAAGCTGCTTTTGGTGCTGTTGCCGTTTGTTGTTTGCCGTCGCTTGTTGTTCCTGTCAGCTGGCGTTACCACCTCCTCTGTTTTTTCTTTCTTAGCTTTTTTTTTATTCCAGTGTTGTCTAATGGCATGTTTTGATTTCGCTCTCAGCTACGCAAACATCAAGCGAAGCCAGTCAAAGCAAAGCGAAAGCAAGCGAAACGTGTGGCATAACCTCAGGCACTCAGGCACGCATTTTCCCCCAGCTCACACACACACACACACACGCAAACACTGGTACACAATCTCGTTGACGAAATTACAGCCAGCTCTTCCGGCTAGAGCCTCGGCGTTTACCCGTCCAACACGTGACTTGGCAAAACAAATTGATTTTCACGTGGCTTTTTTGAGCTGAGTTGCCTTTTCCCTCTGAGTTGCCTTCTTGGATTTTCGTTTTAAGAAACGTTTCTTCTTGCTTCTTTCAGAGATGGCCCTGCTGCTGCCCGCCGCCCTCTCCCGCAGCCACCATGCGAACAACAGCAGCGACCTGCACCACAATCTGCGCACGCGCTACCGCGACTCCTACAAGCACAATCGGGATCATGAGTAAGTAACCGCTACACAACACTATTTGAATCGTTTGATGGTTCTAATCTGTGCAGAAGAAAAAACCGAGGTAAGGCATTAGGTTTAGGTTATCTGCAGTTAATCAGCCTTACTTCGGGTCCTTTACGACATTTTGTGGATGATGTAAGATATCTCTTTCCTTGTCTCTCCTGTTGTTTAGAAAGTAACTAGACGTACTTTAGATTATTGCCACCATCTGAAAGCTCTAAAAGATATAGAATTTACAGCCTTAGTGTAATTTAATCTTAAGATATCGAGAAATAGTTTAAGCAAAGGAAGAAACTAAACATAGATTCCTAAATATATACAGAAGTACCTAGGTAAGTTGTACCCACATGTATCTAAGAATTATTTAGAAAATCTTTCCTAATGGTTAATGTTAAAGATTTCTAGAGATCAGTTCTAAGAGAAATTACTTTCATAGTACTTAAGATTTTCTTATTTTTCGCTCTACTCTCTCTCTCTCTGTCTGTCTACTCTCAGTCTCACGCTGTCTCTCTCTCTCTTTCTCGCTCTCTCAGCTTAAGATCTGTCTTTACAGATAGCTCTTCCATAGATCTAACCTTCTGCCATTAAATATCTAAAGATTATTTTACGCTTAATATTTCAATTCAGGCGCCGAGCGTGAAATGATTTCCACTTGTCTGGACCTTTTTCACGCATGAATTTCTTTAATTTGACTTCTCGATGCTATGCGAAAGGTATGGAAAATCGTTCGCCAAAGCCCCTTTTACGACATTAGGCAGGGGTGCAGCGGGAGGAATGGGGAATTTCAGTATTAATCCCAAATTTGTTGCTAGCTGTTGTGTTTTTATGGCGCGCGGCATGCAAACAACAATTTCATGTTGTAATGGGCAACTGGCAGTGGGGCGTGAGAAGGGAACGTTGGCGAGGAGAGGGTGCGGGATACGTCCAAGAATAACATCAGCATAAGCGCCAGCAATAAAAATCCATCATAAAAGGCGCATAAAAATTGTATAAAATCCACGCCTTGATTTGACGCGCTGTTAATTTTCGTCCTTACGACTATTTCGTTGTTTTCTTTTCCGTTTTTCCTCTTGTTTTTTTTTTTTTTTGTTCGTTGTTTTCCCCTGTTTTTGTTTGTGACTGGAAAATGTTTATGATTCATTCCATTCGTACACAGACAGGTTGGCTAGGAATCCTTGACTGCTCCGTGCCCAAGTGTCCTTGATGTCTTCCTTCGATTGTCGGCAAGCCAAACAAAGCATAAGGTTAAATAAGTACAAGTATTCTAGGTCTAGTCTGGTCTAGATCCGATCTGCAGATACCCTGTACAATGTTTAACGCACGGTATATACTATATATATACACTTATTGTCCAACCTATCAATCCGCTTGTCTGTAGATCTCTTAGTTATCAAGGGCTGTCCTCATAATTTGTCTAGACTTGAAGATACCCTGTATATTTCCTTATCAGCCACAAGTACTATGTGTCGAACTAGACCGGATCGTGCCTTCATATAGCTGTCAAAATGTATACCCTATTTCTGATTACTATATAATAATTCCCTATAAAAAGAATCAATCGTAGCCTAAGTTTTTGTTTGTTTGTCAAGATATTGTATTTATCAAAGGTTTCACAATTCTTCGCGCAAGTCTGCCGAATCGACTGGCATGTCTTCTTATTTCTTGCTTTTCTTTCTAATTACAATAATTATTTAATTTTTTAATTTGGGACTGTGCTGTGCAACATCAACTTTTGAATACCCTTTAAACTCATTAGAAGAGCGGACAGCATGTTCTGTGCATGTCCTAACCTCAATGTACGACCAAATGCGAAGATTTAGCCCGGAACCTGGACTCGGCTCTAGCTGTCTCTCTCTCTCTCTCTCTCTCTCTCTCTCTCTACGCTCACGCTACACAATTGCGAGTCGCTGATTGCAGAAGCAGTAACTAGAGGGGGAGGGGTGGGGGTCCCCTTGCTTCTGCTAATAAGCTAACGGACATCAATCACGTGCCGCATACGCCGCGTTGTACCCCCCTGGAGGGGGGTGGGTCAAGCCAAATCGACGACTTTCGCTTGCCTTGCTGCTTTGTTGTTGTTGCGGTTTATAGCTGCTGCTGTTGTTGTTGTTGTTGCGGTTTCTTGTGTCGTCTCTTTTCAATGCTTGCTGCTGCTTCTTCTTCCTACTTAAGTGTTTCGCTGCTCATCAAAAGCCGTTTATTATGCTGCGCTTTGCTTTTGTTCCGTTGCTTTTGTTGTTTTTTTTTTTTTTTTTGCTCGCACACGAAATTAAATTAAATTCGCAATTTATTATTTTATGCCTTTTCCATTTTCTTTCAATTCAGCTCAAGCTTCATCCATTTAACAGAAAGAAAAAAATAAAAAAAAATGAGAAAAATAAAATAAATAGTTAGAATCGTGTTGCCAACTTTTTGCCTGCAAATTCGATAAATATTAATCGATAACTTTTACTTTATCTTTAGTTTTGTTGAGCTAAGTTGGAAATTCTTATGAAGTATATGTAAATTTAAAATTTTCTGCAATGCACAGTTAAATTCGATTCGTTTTGTGGTTGTATGAATAAATTCAAAACAGTCCAGCTCAGTTCTTAAATGAAACATTCAGCGAATAATTCATCGAATCAATATTTTACAATTCCTATCCGTTTTAACTCGAGACTTGGCCACACTTTTCGTACATTGCGTCGATTAAGGGAAAATACAAAAAAGTGCTGCCAAGTATGCATGCAATATCGATAGAGATTTATCGATAGCTTTCACTTTTGCCCAGTTGCAATGAGTCAAAGTGAAAATAATGGAATTGAGGGTTTTCTATAATTTAGTTTGGTTTATTTATCGACTGAATAAATATATTCAACTCGATGGCTGAATGACTCGCCAATTGATTCATAAATGAATCATTGTTTCACAGCTTTCTTCTTTATTCTCACATTTTTTCCTGCTACAAGCTTATGAATAACTTATGAATACATGTTCGCGCATCGATAGAATCGAAAGGTACTCGTTGCCGCACACAAATCAATTCAAAGTGAATCATAATCGGCCCTACGCCCCCCACCACGCACCCAATACTGTCCACCTCTGCCCCTGGCCACAATTCACTTGTCCAATGATTTGTTAACTAGCGACAAACTTTTATTGCCTGGGCACAAAGGACACAGGACGAAAACACGAATTATGAATTATGCGCTCAAATGCGGAGAAACACAACAGAGGATTGTAGAGGATTGGGGAGGAGTGATGGGGAGTGGTACTTGCGCGCAGAAAATAAATAAATAAATTACGCAAATAACAAATGGAAAAACAAAAATAAAAAAGAAAGAATAAGCAAGCAAACAAAATGCTAACAACAACAAAAGGAAAACTTCGCACCACCGAAGCACAAATACCCTTGAGGAAATGTGCTGCAAAAGTGCGATAGATTACTGCTTTAATCAACATTTAAAATACTTATAAGTTTTTGCCCCAAAACGGCTTCTAGAAGTGCACCCGACTTATCGATAACTTTTCCCGTTTACACAACATCGATATATATCGATATGCTGTATCCAGCAGAGCTTAAGAAGATTTCACACAACGATCTCAGGGACTAGAAGCGCAAAATTAAGCGTAACTACTCCTCTTCGATAAATTGCCTTGCTTACATGGCATCGATATATATCGATAGAATGTTGTCTGCGCGTTTCTCGAAGAGGAATCTTGCCATTTCTCATAAAGGACATGGCTATAGCGACTTATTGATCCCATATAAATGTTGATATTTATGTATGTATATACATTGTCTGCCCTTTGTGTGACCCACATTGCATTAGAAATTGTTGGTACCCTGTGGCAGGGTATACAAATAATAATTCGCCACAATTTCATTTACATAATGACAGTGCGAAGCGATTGCCGTGAAGGAATTACAAAAGCAAACAGAATACACAGGATACAGCCATACAGGATACGGTATACAGGATACAGACCTTTAGCCTACAGAGCCGCCGTCCCTTGCCCCGCCATGAGTTCACCCCTCCGCCCACCCCACTCGGGTATTTCACACTTTTTAATGTGATAAATTTACAGGGCAACATGGAAATCTGCAGTCGACAGACTTTAAATGGGACAAGACCGGCCTACAGGCCAACGACTCCAGCTACAACTCCACCAGCTGCCCGGCGTGCTGCAGCTCCTGCTCCTGTCTCCCCTCATCCTGCAACGCTTCTGCTGCTTCACCTGAGTTGGGTGCGCAGCAATAAAACGTTTTAAGCAAAAATCCCCATGAGGATTAGCTTGGACCGCATAAATTTGCAGGCAAACAGAGAGCCAAACCGAGAAGAGTGGAAGGCAGAGGGGGGGGGGGGGAGGAGTGATAGAGAGGGGTGGAGCTGGTGAGAGGCAAGTTGATTGCTAGCCTTTAAGTCATCTGTGTGCGTGTCTGTGGCTCCAGCTGAAAATTGAAGACAATCGTCCTGCGAATTGACAGATTTTATGATACGCGCGAATACACACACACACACACACACACACACACACACACACACACACACACACACACACACACACATGCACACTCATTTGCATAGCAGGTGAGGCACACACCTGCCTCTCAGCAGGCAGTTAAATAAAAACCATAAAAATGCGTAAAAGCTGCTACTTTATTTTCATTATGCAGAGCGAAAAAAAAAACCCAACAAACACAAACACACAAACGCAGCCGCCTACGTTTTATGCCCAGTTGATCTATGTGTGTGCCTGTGTATGTGTGTGTGCGTGCGCGTGTGCGTGTGCGTGCGGGCGTGTGTGTGTGTGTCGCTGTGCTTTGCATACTTTTAGGGGGCACTCAAAGTCTGCTTTTCAAATTGAATTATGCACTTAATGGCGAGGCCGAACTGAAAGAAAGCGAGTCGCAAAAAACTGAACAAAAGCGAAAGAGAGAAACAGAGAGCGGGAGAAGAGAGAGAATTGGCAGGCGGAGATAGTTAAAACGTAGCTTTAAGCGGCTCAAAGGC